AGTCATTTTTCACAGTTTATCTCATTTTTAAAGACTGGAAGTAGATAAGTATTGCTTTTATTCCTCCTTTATTCCCAACATTTTGTCTGTTTACTTGCAGTCGTCCATCACTACAGGTATTCCAGTTGCTTTAAGTCAAGTTTTTGACAGTTTAAGTCAATTTAATATAGTTGAGTCTTTAAGAACCTTGAGTAGAAGTAGAGAAAGATAAGCACAGGTATGTAGCAAAGGTCTTAAAGTATTGGGACTTCAAGCATTTCACATGACAAGAAAACATATCTTTTGAACAAGTCACATGAAAATGCAGATAGTAGTGTCCCCTGTTGCTAAAAAATGTAGATGAGTTGAAGTGGCAACCAAATGCACAGCAGATTGCAACAAATCATTTTCTCGCCTTCAGCAGAGTTGTGGTATTAAAATGCATATTCTTAAACAGGTCCAGATGACTCATCCCATCCTACTGAGCTTTGTGCCAGTGACTGAACATGCAGCCTTGTGATCATTCCACAACCATGACAGCCAGAGATTGATGAAAGCCTCACATGACACACACAGTTATGAAACTATGCAGTGGAGGAAGGATACCAGGGCAATCAGCAACCTGAGACGGAACTTCTCCTGAACCATCAAAACCAAAAAGACTTCTATAAATAAATAAGTCAGACCCAGCTGAAGACTTGTCACCCTGTTCTAAATATGAAATCAACATAAGTAGAAATGGAAATATTCTGCATTAATTATGATTGAACAATACTTTTTAAGAAAATTAAACTACAACTGACAAGAATTTAAGAGTCACTTGCGGCTGACGGCCATCTTGGTAGATACCAAGCAACTTATGACAGTTGCTATGACAACAATAAACAAGCCACAAGCTTAGAAAAAGCTCTCACCTCATTCCTAACTTATAAACAAAATAAGCACATTATTACCATTACTTGATGACAAATTGAGTACTCTACCCACCTCTGTATCCTAACATAGATATCAGTGAGATTTGCTGATACCCTACATAGGGTAAATATTACAACATTTACCCTAAAATTAACTAGCAAAATTAGCTCCTCCATGTTGTTCTCACTCGAGATGGACATCATCTGACATGTTTCCATTTTGTTAACATTCCTCTTGATTGGTCAAGAGCCTATATGGGTTTTTTGTTGGTCTGGAAGTCATGGTTCATCTACGCTTTGGGATTCACTTGCCTACCAAGATGGCGCTGGTCACTTCTGATTCGTGGGAACTAAGTTATACTGCATCTTATGGAACTAAACATGACAGCAAAATCTAATTTATGAGCAGCTGTATCTCACTAATCAAGTCGAAGAGGAAGGTTTCCCACAGCCAACCAAAATCACCCAACGTGACGCTGGGCAGAGGAGAGCGCGGAGGCTGGTGAAAGCTGTGACTGGCGAAAGGATAAGCCAAAGGCTCTTGGTGTAATGTACAGTATGCCCTCTCTGGTCATGTGCTGCGGCCAGGGAAAGAGGGGAGGCTTTTTAGGCTTTCCTGTGGGGTCATCCAACCTGCTGCCCGCCGTGGTATTCTGGAAACCACAGCGAAGCGGTGTGACAGTGCTTCTGGTGGGTGAGACGACATGCAGAGTGCAATGGGTTTGCAAACCCAGTTGGATTAAGATATTAAGTCAGAGGGAATTTTTAAGTTAGAACTGAAATATCTATTTATTTAAAATATATCTCCTCATCTCTGTAGTTCATTTCTGTGCAGAAACATTTAGCCAAACTTAGTTTTACATTAATAGTCACATCTGAGGCCAGAAACGCTATAAATCTGTAAATATTATACCATCAATTGCTTCTTTTTATCTGTACTGTAACAAATCTAAATCGTACACCATCAATTGCTTTTTTGATTTATACTCCAATTGATCAAATTTATCACTTTAAGAAGCACCTCCATTTTTGTCCAACTATCAAAGTGTCCTCTCTAAACATTTTGCCTCACAGATTTCACCCCTCCAGAGCCGCTTCATGCTTGATGAATGGACACCCTATGCTAGAGGTATGGAGAGCACAGCTGACCACGGAGTTAACAGAAACGCCTGCTGACTGTCTGTTTGTTCTAGGACTGATGCCAGGCACCCAGCCCCCTTTGGCGTGCGCGCGCGCGCGCGCACACACACACACACACACACACACACACACACACACACACACACACACACACACACACACACACACACACTGTTGCTGCAGACCATGACACCTTTGCGGCCATGGAACGTGCTCAGGCACAGACTCGGGCCAAAGTGTAAGCAGCACCACATGGAGGTGAGCTTTGAGGTCTGCTGGTAATTTTATCCAGCGGCAGTCACACGGTGGGAGTGGTTTCTTTCACTCACCAGGTATTTACAACTAAAAAGAGCACTTTCCCCTGCGTGGCGTGCCTGACCCTGAACAGGAATGTGCACAAGAACACTCCATGCTGGCATGGAGCCAGAAATCAACCCATGAGTATCGTGTATCATGATAACCAGGTCTGTGACGCGCTGCTCAGAGCATTTCTCCATCAGCTTAATAAAGTTCACACGCCGACATTACTTCGAATCCAGAGTTGGCTAGTAGTCACATTCACTCAATCTATTTTTTAATAAAATGTGCCTTTGAGAGTGTTTTTTACTTTCGAGTAAAGTTTCTGGATTTTCTACTATTTTTGAAAACATTTTCTGTGACTTATTTAGTTATTTTTTATTACTTATTTGAATTATTGTCATTTTGGTCCTTAAAGTACCAAATTTGGACTTTATCATTTGGTCTATTTAACAATGTAATTTTTAAATAATTGATAATTCAATCAGATACTCAGTACTTGAGTAGAATTTGTACCAAATATTTTTAACTTAATTTCTTGGATAGCTACTTTTTACTTTTGCTTAAGACATAACATATTTTTCTTCAAGTACAATTTGTTCATACTCTAATAGAGTATGAACTTTATTGTTCATACTCTAACAATAAAGTTTTTTTTCTAATTTAATGATTTATGAACAAAACCCTACATTAAATTATTTTTTTTAAAGAGTCAAGGAAAAGATTCGTTTCCGTCACTCAAACTATAATACAGTTATGCCAATGCATCTCAATGAGATGCAAGTTTGGAGTTGTCTACAACACACAGCAGCCATTTACAGAAGCAGCAAATTAGCCAAGGGCACCACAATACAATAAATGTGATTTTTAGGGGAAAATATGCCTCAAAACGCTCATGGCTGCATTTTTGGCATTCTTATAGTTGAATTATCACCATTAGATCTTGTATAAGTGCCAAGTAACTTTGGTAGGACGACAAATCAAATAATTTTGTTCACTACATTTCTAAGTACTGGTTTTATTCCTGAATTTCTTAATATTTGGATGTGATACTTCATGTCAGACAAATGCAAGTTATTTCATAATTTCTCCAGGTGTGGCCAAAGTCAGCTTTAGAAAATGTTTTGATTTAATAGGAGGGGAGCTACTTTCTCACACATGCAGGTTGGCTAGCATAGCTTTTTCAACATTAGTATTTGAAATATTTGTGGGACAAAATACTAAAACACTAGAAATCTGTATGATAAAAAGTAGCTTATTGACAGAACCGAGTTTAAAACCAGGTGTTTTGCAGACATATGGCTGCAAGCTGAGAAATTAAATATAAATAACCCCTGAGAGATTATTAGGGTTTGTCATCGCACATTAACGATATAAACACTGAGGAGACAAAAGCCTGATCTGGAATGGATCTGTTGAGGCCAACTGAAACAATCACATGCTCTGCACGACTACCGCAGCACACGGTGTCCTCCGCGCTGCCAGGGAGAACAAACCCAACAGAAACCACCGGCACTTTGCGCCATAAGAACTCAAATCAAGCAGCTGTTGAGACGTAAATGCATGATTTCTCATCACAATAGCCAAAAACAAAGGAATGGGAGGAAACACGATAACAAAGAGGAGGACGCTGCTTCTGGACCTTCTAACACGATGAACTGCTCAGAGCAAACTTTAAATGTGAAGTATTTATCCGTAAACTCCGATCAATAGCAGTGGTGCAGGAATGGTTCAGTGAAAAGCGGTTGCTAAGGGATGAGGAAACCATCACCGCGCGTGCAGCAGCAGCCTCGCTGCGCGCTAGCATTAGCTTGTTAGCTAACAGCACGTCTCTCACGTCTTCGTGGAGTTTGCCTCAGTCAAGTGGAAATAACAAAATTATACAGGCTGTTTGCATACATTCTGCTCTTAACTTAAAACCAGTATCTCATGAAAAGTTTAAGACAGCAATACAACAAAGCCAGTACCAGAAATAACGTTAGTGTAGCCAACGTTACACGCAAACATTGACACACACACACAAAGGTACCTGAAAGCTGGGTCCTCCTTGCTACATCTCGGTGGCGGCGACGACAGCGCATTTCTCTTGTTAAAAAGTTTCTGGAAAAGGGTCGGAGGCATTTTGTACCAAAAATAAATTCGGTACACGCTTTCTTTAGTTTTCACATCCAGGAGCGAATCTCGTTCCTTGTAACGATCTCCATGGGTGTCACAGTCATATGACGGGCATTAGTCACAGGGGCTGCTTGGTAACCTGCTACTTCATTTTGATTGGCCAGGCGCGTACGCGGCTATCGAGAAGGAATTACGTGATTGGCTGGTATTTTTGGAGAAGTAACCACGTGGTAAGTGTGTTCACTGTGTTGATGTTTTGTCGGGAATCGTGTCGGCGTGAAATGTATTCGCAGAAATAATTTAAATTCGGCTTTTAACCAACTGGTCCCAGACGAGCAGTCATCCATTAAATACGTGCACATTGAAATATGACAAGTAAGCAAATAAATATGCGAAAAAAATATTTCACCTTATAACGCAAAATTTATGCAAACTCATAAATCAGCAAAAATCTTCAAACTGACACTTACACATTTATAATGAAAATCTAACATGCATATATTACACATTTAATTTTTTATTATCATTTTAAGTTAAACTAAATTCACGGAATACACAAAACTTCAAAAGTATACATATAAATAAAGAGAAACAGAAACACAACAAATGCAAACATTTTTGTTTCTTTTTAACACAAGAAAGTTATTCTTACATGTATATTTATCACGGGTTATGAATACATATCTGCCATCTAGTGGCCATTTTTGATAAGTACATTTTAAATGTATTTTTGCAAAAATGAAAAGTTACGAGTATCATCAGCAAAGCATTCAAATCAGCAGACAACATGAAATTATAGCGTTTGAGACACCTTTTACAATTATTGCCAGAAAAACAACAACATATTAGTACAGATAGTGTTAAATCAAAATAAAGTGAGATACAGTGAATAATATTTAAAGAAAGTCAAATTCTTTCTTAGCTTCTTAAAAGTACAAAGATAAGTTTGAAACTGCTACCTGTTTGCTTTAAATATTACACACTGAAGCGCGTATCTATTCAACTCCTTAACCTTCACTCCTCATTTCCATTGAAGCATCTCAGACTGAATTGTAGTTTAACTCTTGGTTTGCATACCTGATTTGAAAGGAAAGAAAACAGCATTTCTACGTTTGATGGATCTTTCTTTCATTTTTTGAAAAAAGGCTCTTCTTTCGTTATCATTCACAAACTGAAAGAACGCTGTTTTTTCTGAACATGTTCTTCCAGGCTTTTTTACAGCCAGTAGTAATGGTGGATCTTGAAAGCTGGTCACGCTCCTTCTGGATGTCATGGGATGAGGTTTTATTTTCTGCAGATGTCTTGAGGGACTGCTGGTGTTTTTTGCACTTGTTGCAGGGGATTTGATTTCTTTCTCATTTTGAATCTCAGTTGCATCAAGGCTTTTGAACCTAACTTTCTTCCTAAAGGTAATTGGCTTCCTCTCTGAGAGCTAGAGTGAATTTATATTTAAACGTGGTTATAAATATCATTCATATTAAATGTGTAGAAACAAAGTGAAACTTACTTTTGGAGAGGTTTCCTTCTTAATGACTTGTTCTGCAAATTAAAAATAAGAAAATTAAAATGTACTCTTCGATAAAAGTATGTCTTGTTAAAGTTGGTATATTACCCGAGTTATTTTCCCTTATGTTCATTTTTCCTTCATCTTCAGGAGTTTTGTGGTTGCTTGATAAAAAATAAAAAACATAAACAATTGTCTATCCTCCACATGATCACAGTTTACTTTAAGAGTTCCTGAGTTTTCTAAAGAGATTTACTAAGGAGCAAAAAGACATTTGACTGTTTTTTTTTTTCAGTTTTACTGGCAGATCAAACAAAAATTATAATAATTTGAGCTTTTAAAATAATTACTAAATATACTGAAACTAAGAATCTTTACTACAGTTGGCCTATAAATTAATTTTAAATCAATGATATTTGATGCATTAAATTTTGTGATTTAATGCATCAACTGGAATAATATTTTACTCCATCCATTTTCTGCTGGATTCAAAATTCCTACCTCACATAATTATACATAATCTCAGTCATTAAAGAAAACCATTAATCAGTATGGTAAAGATCAATTATTAACCTTCTAATTGGGAAATAAACTTAAATATTTACCTGATCTCACACTTTTCCTCAGCTGAACTCAAAGAAGCATCTGCAGAAACAGAGCTGGGAATTATTTTTGTTTCAATGTGAACAATTAAATACCAGCTTCATTTCTGCTTCCAGAACTGTGACTAAAGTTTTCTGCATAGCTGGAAAAGTGTCAACACTTGTCTTTGTGGAATCACCGATGATGGTCGAAAGGTTTGGTGGAAGATGGGAGTGAATATTCTCCGCGTGGCTGTCTTCCAACAAGGTGGAGTTTTTCACCTGAAGATGAAAACCCAGCAACTCGTCCTTCCTGGGAAAAGTCATCATGCCCACTGTTTTGACAAGAAAAGAAAAAGAAGAAGTTTGATCATGATGTCGAATACTTGTGAAAGTATTGTGTGTTTATTTTAAAATTCAGCCCAGTAAGTAGCACTTACCTCTGAAATGAAATGAGAAATAAAACGAATGAAATCTGAAAAGTCTGCTAGGCATTTGTATTCAGGCCCCTATTAAAATTTTGATTGCAAAAATTGTGTTTTTTTTTTACTTGCTAAGTAAATCATAAACACACAATATTTTAATAAAATGAGCAAAATAGTTTAAATTATAGATTTAAAACAAAAACGGTCCTTGCCTGATTAGGAAAAAACAGCAAACCATTTACTAAATTTTTACTAAATTTTTCATCTTCTTTTGCATTTGTTTTGTGTCTTAGCAACAAAAATAGAGCATGGCTCACTCTTGCTTTATTTTGACAAGTTTATTAAACATTTGTGCCCAAGATGGCAGTTTAGCTAACGTCTCTAATGGTTTTGGCCCCTATTATTGACAGATGTAATTAAAAGCAAAATTATGAATACCTTGTGTTCCCCTTTTCTATTTGACGTGAGTGAAAAATCCCAGTTTTAAACCTAAAGTCGTGTCTGAAGTTCTGTACAAGTTTATCCAAAATGTGTCTGCATCTGTTGCTTCGTTTATGTTCTTCATCTATTTTTGTTTAGTGAGTTATTCATTGGGGAACTTCTGAGGAAAACTTAGTTGTTCTGGATTTTATTTGAGCAGAATACAAACCCACTCCACACTTTTCAGACTATTTTTGAAAGCAAAACAAAAAAGTGAAAACAATAGATCACTTGACTTTCGCATCACTGGCACTTCTTTTTATCGGTTTTGGTCCAAAAATATACATTGAGGTTTGGTGACCAAAATGTTAAAATATTCAAGAAGCTCTTTACCAAACCACAAGCATTGGATGGACAAACATACCACTCATTTCCTTTCTGAAGATCTCTGGGGAGGAAGAGTTGCTAATGGTTGCTGAGGCATCAGCATCATCATAGTCATCTTCATCATCATAGTCATCTTCATCATCATAGTCATCTTCATCCTCATAGTCATCTTCATCCTCATCCTCCTCCTCCTCCCCTGAGTATGACGTTGACTCTGCTTCCGTGACGGAAGACGTCCCAGTCTCTGGAGTCCCAGCACATGGTGAGACCTCTGGGATGAGTTGGACTGTTGGGGAAACTTTTCCTGATGCTTTAACAACCGATGTGACACATGAAGCAGGTCGGCTTTGTCTGGTTTTAGTAAACGGCACAGAAGCACTAACCTGGGAACGCAACAGCAAAATGAATCAGGCTTGAGAAGCAGCGGTCGATTTAAAACAGTCAAATATATTTTAAACGTGGATCATTGAAACTAATTTGAAGGTTTAGTTAAAAAAATAAGAGTTACACTGACAGGGCTCACTGGTTTGACTTTGGACTCATTTATTTCTTCTTCCTCTATCCTTTCTGGCAATGAGTCGCAGCATTTGCCAGTCAGAAGTCTCCTATATCCTGAAAATGTAGAATAAAGTATAGTTGATCATACTCTGACTACCCTAACAGGAGCTTTCTGGCTAATTTTAAGGACTCTGGATCACTTTTTGATCAGCTGAAGAACAAAAATCAAATGAAGATCGAGTTAAAAAACAATACATGCCTCCTCAGATTTGTACATATAAAAAAGGACCATTTAAATCCTATTTTTGGATTTGTGATAATACCCAGAATTGTGTTTTGCTGCTTTTTTTGTGGCATTTTCTTTTTTCCCGCATGTCCCTAATCTTCTTCCGTAGTGTTCAGCCATACTAATTAAGTTTAGATAATGACATAATCTCCCCACAAAGCAGCAGAAGGAGGTTTTATTAAAGTACATAAATAGTGTCAGTGTTGGCCTGAACGGTTTTCGGGTTTTATCGGGTTCTTACTCTGTCGCTTCCGGGTCGCTGAGCTTCCGGGTGTTTCTGCTTCGGGAGGAATCCCGCTGTCACGACGAACTTTAACTTGACGCTTGAGTTGCTGCATTTCCGTTTAGACTTATTTCCAGATTTTCATCATCATCATCATCATCATCATCACCAGTTAAAACGTTTCTGTCAACCGCGTTTCTCCAAAGTCCGGACGTTGCCTAGCAACCATGCACACCTGCCGGGCCATTATCTCCTTCCTGACTGTTGACGGATTTTTCTGCTCCAGGTTCGGTTCGGTGCGAATTATCAATAGTTTTAGGCTGTTTAATCACAAAACAGTGTGAAATATACAGTCCAGTCCGTTAATCTGGGATTAACGGAAAAGGGAAATGAAATTAACTGAATTATTAAAACACCTGATCTGACAGGTGCGGACCGATGTCACTTATTACCACCAAACACAAGAACAGAAATGAAACTCGGATCCAGAGGTTCTGGTGACTTTGGACCAGGATTAGTACAGAAAAAACAACATTTCGTTTATTTTTATTATTGCAGCTCAATTTGTTGCAAGTAATCAAATAAATGTATCCGAGTAAATCAGCTACTTGAGTAACTTTAGGGGGGAAATGTACTTTTAGGAGTATTTTCACTGCAGTGTGTTTCTTTTTTGACTTTTACTTCAGTAAAAAGTAACAAGCTTGTTTTATAAATTGTATGTATAAAGAAATTGATTAGGAAAAATGTTTCTTTTGCCTCAATGTTATTTATTTGAATTCATTTCATTTTGATCTTCAAATTGTCAAAATTTCCACATAACTTCATATTAAATGATCATTGGATTGTTTCCCTGACAGATGAAAAGCAAACCTTTCATAGCAGAGAAAAACAACAGACACATTTAAAATCATTCCAGGATATCTTTAATTTCACTGCCCTGCTCCTGTTGCCCTGCCCTCCCTCATCCCTTTTGCAGCGATGAATTATTACAAGGATATGGTGCTGATTCCATTGTACATCAGAATACATAAATAATTTAAGTACAATTTTCCTACAACACGCAAAAAAGAGAGAACAAAAACAAAAAGTCATTCAAAACGGTTGATTTTAATAAATATGCTTACATCTACCTGTCCTCATTTATGTACATCCACTTTGTTTATGCTTTGGGACAGTAATAAACTTTAAAAGCGAATGCATTACTACTATTTGTAAACCCTTCAAACAAAACAAATGTACCCTACATTTAAAAGTTGTTTGTTCTGTTAACTCTCCATTGCTCTGAGCGGAGTTTCGTAACCCAGCCTCATGTTAAAACCATTTGCGTTGAAAGCCAAATGGTCACAGCATTGCATGGCAAACTGCATGCTTTGCCCTAATCCCTGGTTTTGCATTCATTCATTCATTCATTTTTTGTTTGTACCAGACCTATTCTTTGTGCAGAAAAGAATAAAAAATAAAGCAGCGGCTGCAGCAGCTGAGACGACAGCTTCATCAGGGCCAGTTCCTTACATTGAACAAAGTGCATGCATGCTGAATGTCTGGCCACAGTCGTGAAGTGATGACTCTCCCTGCAATGAATGAGTTAAAAACAGATTTTCAATTGGGTAAATGCTCCGCACCAAGCTGAGCAGAGGTTTGCAGAAAGGTGGATTTACATTAGTCTTGTTTCTCACTTTTAGAAATCTCTTGCAGCTACTCTACACACAATTACAAACTTGTGGTCACACAGTTGTTGTCTGTCTGGCTGATTGAAGCTGGAGGGAGGGGAGCAGAGTGACAGGAAATGATGATCAGGTCAATGTTGAGGTGTTTTTTTCTGCTTCTGGGATCCTAGCAGTGATTTGTTTGGATCAATAGCTGGTAGCAGTGTTGGTAAGTTTAATGTCCCTAATTTAAAGCCAACATAACAAAAGACAGCATGAAACATATGTAAAAACACACATTGTCATAAATATTTCTTTTGCATGTACTGTTTCAGATTAAATATGCTGTTCTATGCTTCCCTCTAGTGGACGATTCAGTGTTAGACACTGACTTGCTTCTTTAGTTTTGATTGGTTTTTAACGTGACAAATTAATGCCACAAGGGAAACTGCGACCAATTATCCCAGAATAAAAGTTAAACAACAACTGCTTGAGCATAAAACTGAATTTATCTATGCAGTAAATATGAGAAATAAATATGACAATGTGCACCGTCTTCCCTTTTAGCTTTTATTACATTGTTCTGAACAGCCATTTCAGATCTTCCACATTTGGGACAGTTTTGGTTTACTTTCCCAAAGCATGTTCTGGCTGATGAGGTGCAGTATTGTCCCACTGCAGGTAGAAACAGATCTTTGTGTCAGGATGCTCAAAGGAAAACGCGGTCATGATGGCCTTCACATGGAGATGCTCCTGTAGAGGTCGTCGATCTTGTTCTTGAAGAACTCCTTCAGCTCGGGTCGCTTGGCCTTTAGCGTCGGGGTCAGGAGGCCGTTCTCGATGGAGAACATCTCATTGTGGATGTAGATGTTCTTCACCTTTGGAAAATGGAAACGACAGGTTTGAGATTGATTGAAAAATGGAATTTGTTAGGATGTTAACCAAGAAGCAAGCCTGCTGGGAACTGGTGGAATACCAGTGTCACTGGACCCAGTTTGACGTCAACACGGACTGAAAAACCCAGTTCCAATAACATCTTCATGCTGAACTTAAATGTGCAGCTTCCAGTCTACCACCCGGACAAAGGATTAATGAGTTTCTGTCCTGTAATTGCAAACTTTAATCTGGTTTTTTGCTTTTTGCAGAGAAAAATCTTTGCAGGTTTCAAATAATTTTGGAGTTTGTTTGTTTATTGCTAACATGTGGAAATGTTTTACCTGCTCAAATGATAGAAGCCCATTGTCTTTGCCCAGACACACCAAATCTTCAAGGATAGCCTTCTTCAATTCCTGGTAACAGAATGCAAAAGTGTTGCATTTAGATTAGTTGTAGAATCATTTAGAATGAATGTCTGCAGAAGTTTTACCTACCGTGTTTTTACAAAGGTCCTTGTAAGTTCCCAGAATGCCTTTCTTCTTGGCCCACTCAGGCATCACTTCAGGGTCAGGAACCACGATTCCCACCAAACAGGACTGAAAGAAGCAGTCACAACATCAATCCAAGAGATTAAGAAAAAAACAGCCAAAGGATTCTAGAGGAGAAGCTACAAATGAAACTTTGTGAATTTGATAGGAAGGTTTGACGTCGTACCTGCAGACTGTCGCCGTGAACATAGAGCTGCGCCACAGGTGGACTCCTGATGTAGATGTTCTCGATCTTCTCAGGGGAGATGTACTCGCCCTGTGCCAGCTTGAAGATGTGTTTTTTCCTGTCGATGATCTTCAGCGTGCCGTTCTACACCAGACCACATAGCGAACAGAACCTCAACACATTTTGGAGCGTCTCTGTGTGATGCAGCTGCACAGCCTGGTGTTAGATTTATGTGACTTACAGGTAACCATTTGCCGATGTCTCCGGTGTGGAGCCAACCATCTGCGTCCAGCGTCTCGGCCGTTCTCTCTGGGTCTTTGAGGTAGCCTTTGAACACGTTTGGTCCCTTCACACAGACCTGAAAGAGTTCAGATGGAAAACTTATTCAACTTAAAAAGCAGTCAGTGACCTGAGTAATTGAAATAAAACCTTACGTACGATTCAAATAACCTGTTTGTTATGTTGTTATTCTGAGAGGGAAAAAATACTTTGCTTACTTCTCCCTCTCCTTTAGATGCAAAGTAGTTCTTTTCAGGAACATCCACCAGTTTAATGAGGTTACATGGCAGCGGAGCCCCAACATGACCTAGAAATCAGGAGAAGAAAATATGTTAGGTGAATTTTATAGCAAAAAATATATATATTTGGAAACTGAACAGCAGGGGGCAATGTTACACTGCCTTTATACTTGTTTTGTGCAGCGGTTGAGGCTCTAAACATGTTGAAGTGCAGATGTTTGTAAAAGTTATATAATCCTTTTCATGGCACGACTGCAGAAACCTTTAATTAAACTATACTTTGAAGCAGCTACATGTTCTTGTATAAAATGTTTAATTGTTCAGACAACCTGTTGCAGCAAAAAAAAATTATATATATTTTTAGTTTTCAACCCAAAAGTCATCCGAGGAGTTATTAGATAAATATATAAATTGAATCTCCTGTCACATATCAATACTGTGCATTATCTAAGCCTCACCTGTCACAGTTTATGTATGATTCAGCAACACAAAACGTCTAAAAAGAGTTTTAAAATCCTAATTGAGAAGTTGAAAATTAATGACAAACTCAACATTTCTTTTCCAGCTCAGAAATATTAAAATTTAAAATGTCTTATTATATGCAGCGTCAATAAGGCCAATGTATTTACTATACAGTTAGAACGCAATCTCAAATCAATGGCAGATATGTTGGCTGGTTTTAGTTGTACATGAAACTGCACAGCAGTTATTTCTGTTATCATGACAAAGATAATTTGTGCACCACAATAGACCATAATGGAGGCAATCATAGCCGCTTCTGGTCCTCTGTAGATGTGGGAAACCACCTGGGAAAACAGGCTGAGCGGCTCTTTAATCTCCACTGGACGCATCAGGCCCCTCCCTCTCCCTCTCTTTAGAAAAACGGAAATAGACCTCCTTACTCTTCAATACCCATTCCCTCTCATTTTTCCCCAGCCGTAAATCATCTACTTGGAGCAGAGGAGATACCGTGAGAGTGTCTGAGATGTTACGCCACAGCGACGCCCACGCAATCCTCACTGTCAGAGTGGAAGTCAAAGCAGCTCACAGAGCCACAGCAGAGTTCATATAAAGACCTTCTTCCAGCTTTTCACATTGATTACTGGTCACTGTCATCACCTTTTGACCTCTGGTTGGAGGAAACAGTTCATTGGTTTGAGTTTAGCGGCGAGGCCTCACCTGAGGTCCAGTCTCCAGGTGTGGTGTAGGTACAGCCAGCTGTGCACTCTGTTTGTCCGTATGCTTCGTAAACCTACACAGGAACATGGGAAATGCTGAGAAAAGGGAAGTGGAAACTGTCTTCCTGTTGTTCTACAGTTTAGAATAAAGTGTTTGTGGATGATTGATGTTGTCGTGGTAAACAGTTTGGGTCAGCTTGTGATGGAGAAACCTTCTTCTTTCTTCTTCCTTTTGATAAATGTGACCACTTCCTGCACCTTTATGTCCTCCATATTCTTTAACTATGCTGGACT